AGCAATGCTAATTAAAACAAACAAACAGGAAGGGTACCTGGCTGGCTCAGTTAGTAGAGCATACAACTCTTTTTTTTTTTAAGATTTTTATTTATTTATTTGAGAGAGAGAGAGAGAGAGAGCCAAAGCAGAGGGAGCAGCCGAGGGAGAGGGAAAAGCAGGCTCCCTGCTGATCAGGGAACCCAATTTGGGGCTCGATCCCAGGACCCTATGATCATGACCTGGACCAAAGGCAAGATGCTCAACGTACTGAGCCACCCAGGCACCCTGACCATGCAACCCTTGGTCTCTGGGTCGTGAGTTCAAGCCCAACGCTGGGCATGGAGCCTACTTTAAAATAACAACAACAACAACAAAAACAAATAGGAGCTCCCAAATATAAAAATATTCTTATGATATTAATGCCCAAAGAAAACAAAATCAAACATTCTCACTAGCAATCTAATATTCATTCATCAAGAAGGATTACAGATGCCATTATCTTGTACAGGTATCATTATGGGGATAATCTAGTCCCTCCTTCTGATCTTTATCACAAACTAGCCATTGCTTTCAGATCTATCCCAATGTACCATCAACCTCTGGATGTCCAGCTCAGAATCGGTCCATTTGAAGTACAGCACATCAGTGGTTTGAACATTCTTCTGAAATTTGTCTTTTGGATAATTCTGCTTTTCCCCACATTTCTTTCATATTGTAGCAGATCTGTGCATGTTGGTGGTGCTCAGGTCCCACTTTGCTCTGTGGTCCTACCCCCTGACAATAGCTGATCAGATCAGAGAGCAGTGTCTGGTCCAAACTGGCCAGTTTCTTCCCCGAAAATTTGGAAATGAAACTCAGACTTTGGTTAATAATTGGAGCGGGTGGAGTTGACAGGATACATGAATCATCAAATTTATAAATAAGATAAGCATGTCTGCTATCATCATCATCATTATTTAATTCACTCTAGAGTCTAAAGTCCCCTTCAAGGTCACAAATCTAAAATCTCTAGGGATTTTCAGGGTGCCTGGGTGGCTCAGTCGTTAAGCGTCTGCCTTCGGCTCAGGTCATGGTCCCGGGGTCCTGGGATCGAGCCCCGCATCGGGCTCCCTGCTCAGTGGAAAGCCTGCTTCTCCCTCTCCCCCTTCACCTGTTTGTGTTCCCTTTCTTGCTGCATCTCTCTCAAATAAGTAAATTTTAAAAAGTCTTTAAAAAAATAAAAAAAATAGATAAAATCTCTAGGGATTTTCAACTAGATTCTTTTAGCCACTATGTTCTTGTTCCTGGAGTTGCTGCTAGCAAAACGTCACACGTACACATTAGACACTCCTCTTTCCTTTGGGAGCCCAAATGGATCACCCAGATTACATTGGGGAAGAAGAACATGGTTGTACTGATGGTTGGTACACTCCAGAAATAGTGTTTGTTATGGAATCCAAGCAGCCCGGGGGTCAACAGGACAATGAAATTACCCTTATTTTCCTGGTCAGTGAGCTGGGAGCAAAGGGGCAGACAAGAAACATCTATTCTTTCAGGGACATCCAAGGTTGAAATCTCAAGGATCCTAATTAAATAAATGTTCCTTTTGTTACTTACTTTTTTTAAAAGATTTTATTTTTAAGCAATCTCTGCACCCAATGTGGGGCTTGAACATATAACCCAGAGATCAAGAATCTCATGCTCCACTGACTGAGCCAGCCAGGTGCCCCTTGTTATTTTATTTCTAAACAGGTTAGCTAGTTGGGAGAGAGAAAACCATAATAAAATGGAAACTGTGCTTGGGGCACCTGGGTGGCTCAGTCGTTAAGCGTCTGCCTTCAGCTCAGGTCATGATCCCAGGGTCCTGGGATCAAAACCCGCATCGGGCTCCCTGCTCGGCAGGAGGCCTGCTTCTCCCTCTCCCGCTCTCGCTGCTTGTGTTCCCTCTCTCGCTGTGTCTCTCTCTGTCAAATAAATAAAATCTTAAAAAAAAAAATGGAAACTGTGCTTGACAATTCTATTCCAATGTGAGAAATTTGAAGGCGATCATGTTTTTCCTCACAGTAGGAGTTCTTCTCTCCTTAGGTATGATCTCATAGTTCAGGATTCCCTCTAAAAAATATCCCATTGGAGTCTGAGCTACATGTTCTTTGCCAATCAAAATACTTTATTTTTTTTAAAGATTTTATTTATTTATTTGAGAGAGAGAGAATGAGAGACAGAGAGCACGAGAGGGAAGAGGGTCAGAGGGAGAAGCAGACTCCCTGCTGAGCAGGGAGCCTGATGTGGGACTCGATCCTGGGACTCCAGGATCATGACCTGAGCCGAAGGCAGTCGCTTAACCAACTGAGCCACCCAGGCGTCCACCAATCAAAATACTTTAAATAGCAATTGTAAAAGGCCTGCTAAGTGTCTGATGGCACCCTAAGTCAAAGACTTGCCCTATCAAGTATGAATATAAAAACACATAATGGTGTCAGTAAAACCTACTAACAAAACCAGTGGTAAACCCCATAGTCTTTATCATTATTCATTTAATATGAACAGCACCCCCTGACATGTGTTATCGTTTTTATTTTATTTTTTTTAAAGATTTTATTTATTTATTTGAGAGAGAGACACAGAGAGAGAGGGAACACAAGCAGGGGGAGTGGAGAGGGAGAAGCAGGCTTCCCACGGAGCAGAGAGCCTGACACGCGGCTCCATCCCAGGACCCTGGGATCATGACCTGAGCCGAAGGCAGATGCTGAACGACGGAGCCACCCAGGTGCCCCTATCATTTTTATTTTAGAGATGAGTAACAGAAGTACAGAGAAGCTGACCAACTTGCAAATGGCAGAGCTGGAACTGGACCAGATGCCTGACCTCAGAATAGGTAGAAAATGTGGTTTGAGAATTTGAAAATTAAAAGGTGCCTTTATAAGTCAGTGGGAAAGGAAGGACTTTCTCACACTTTCTTAAAGTGTGAGAACAAAGTTGTTTTTCATTTGGAAAGAGTAGATCTCTACATCCCACTGAACAGAAATACATCATTGATAGAGTAAATTTTAAAAATAAAAATATAAATTTGAAGTATAGGAAAGAACTGTTGAAAAATTTGTTACAATACATAGACAAAAATATTAACAATAGGATACAAAATCACAATCCATATCATGTCATATCAGAGATATCACATATCATACTGAGAGGAGATTGTGAATTATGACACTAAAGGAATGGGATTTTATATGTTAAAAACCCCATTCGAATTACTATTTTGGGAACTAGACTAATATTCTTAAGTGGTCCAGTTAGACAATGTGATATCTCCTACAGTCCTGTAAGTGGTTAGTGCCAGTCTTAAGTTATACAGGACTCCAAGGCTACTGTAGAAAGGACTACTTTTTCAGAGGAACTTACCTTCCATTTAAAGAGCATTTCTGGGGGTGCCTGGGTGGCTCAGTCAGTTAAGTGTCTGACTCTTGATTTCAGCTCAGGTCATGATTTTGGGTTGTGAGATCGAGTCCCTCATTGGGCTAAGATGCTAGGCATGGAGCCTGCTTGAGGTTGTCTCTTTCTCTCTCCCTCTGTCCCTCCCCCCACTCTCTCTAAAAAAAAGAGAGAGAGCATTTCTGGTACAATAATAAATTAATTCTCCTCTTTCAAGGATGTAGGCCATGTATAAATTAACATGTATGTACATGTGTATATATATGTGTGTATAAGGATTAATGTGAAATTGAATTAAAGTTCTCAAAAAAGAGAGGAAGGATCACAAAGGAATGAAAAAGGAGATCTCAGACTTACTCTTAGCATGACAGTAAAAATCATTAGAGTAGAAAAATTCTCAAATTTGGATTTCCAGCTTTGGGATGTGTAACAGTCAGAGTAGGTTAGGCTCTATTGTTGAAAACAGCAACAGTGTGTGTAACAGAACTGAAATGTTACTGATTTAATGAAACAAAATCTTATTTCTTTCTCTTGAAAAGTATCTACCAACTTGGGCAACCATCCAGGACAATCCTCCACATATTGGTCAGCTTTCTAAACTCTTTGGATCTTGTGATGCCTTCATTCCTCAGTAGCTGTATCAAGGGAAGAGTGAACATGACGAATAATATACCAGCTCTTCAACTGTTTTAATCTAGAAGGGACCCATCACTTCCACTCATATTTTATCGGACACATCAAAACATATTATTACCACCTTTAACTTCAAGGGAGAAAGAAAATACCATTCTTTTGGGTATCCAATAGGAGAGGATAACCAGAAATATTGTCAACCAAGCAATAAAATACCCAATTCAAATTGTACACATTGAAATCCATATGAAAATCTGGGCAGCTTGTTATTAGAATATGGGCTCAGGGTCAGAGTTCTGGATTTGAATCCTGGTTTTGCCACTTGGTCCCTCTGAAACTTTGGGGAAGATTTTTAAGCTCTTAGATTCTCAATTTCCTTACCTCTAAAATGGAGACAGTAATCCTTCCCATTGAGGAAGATTAGATAAGATAGTGGAGAGAAGTTAGCATAGGCTTATCATGTAATAATAAGTACTAAAACACTGACTGTATTTTAATCATATTTTATCCAGTAAAAAAACCCCCAAACACTGTTGGTAATACATGCACATGAACAACACAAATCTATAACAAAACACATAGAAATAAGTTAAGGTGAATGATCAATAGTTTAAGCATTCTCCACCAACATTTGAGATAACAAGGCTAAAGTAAATGCTCCAAATCCAAGGTAGAACTCACCAGTGAGGAAGTAAGAAAGATAAAGGACATACTTTTTGGACAACAGATAGGGCAGAAAGATCATCAGATAAATTATGTGGAAGTCAGTTGTTTAAAAGTGTGTAAAAACTAGGGGAGTGCAGTCATAGATCCTTCAGGATTAGGTGAAAGAGGGTTTACAAGATTCAAGAGTAAACTTTAGAATCAAAATTTTTGCCCTTGGGATCCATAAAACTTTCTTAATCCTGGGGCCAAGAGATCCATCACAGATGAGAGGTTGCTCTACTGAGAAGCCTTCCCAGAGCCCCCTTCACATCCTTGTTCCTCAGGCTGTAGATGAAGGGGTTCAGCATGGGGGTGACCACAGTGTACATCACCGAAGCCACTGAGACCTTCTGGGGGGAGTGAGTTACTGCAGAAGTGAAGTAGACCCCAACACCTGTTCCATAAAATAAAGAAACCACTGAGAGGTGAGACCCACAGGTGGAAAATGCTTTTTGCTTTCCCCCAGATGAAGACATCTTCCTTATGGATGAAGCAATCTGTGAGTAGGAGAAAAGGATCCCAATAAGGGGAAAAACACCCAGCACACCAGTCATAAAGTATATCAATGAGCTGTTCAGGAAGGTATCAGAGCAGGCCAACTTGAGAATCTGTGTCAGTTCACAGAAGAAATGTGGAATTTCAAGATCTCGGCGAAAGCTCAGATGCATCATCAGAAGGATGTGAAGAAGAGATGTCATGACACCAGCGAACCAGGTCACAAAAACCAGCAGGCCACAGAGGCATGGGTTCATGATGACCGTGTAGTGCAGGGGGTGGCAGATGGCCACAAACCGGTCATAGGCCATTATAGTCAGGAGTAGAGTGTCCAGGATAGGAAAAAACATGGAAAAATAGACCTGCGTGAGGCAGTCCATATAGGAGATGGCTTTGTTTTCTGTGTGGATGTTCACCAGCATCTTGGGCACTATGGTGGTGCTGAAACAGATGTCAACCAAGGACAGGTTGGAGAGGAAGAAGTACATGGGGGTGTGGAGGTGGGGGTCAGAGCAGATGGCCAGGATGATGAGCAGGTTCCCGAGCACGGTGACCAGGAACATGGACAGGAACAGCCCAAATATGAAGGGCTGTAATTCTGGATCCTCAGAGATCCCAAGGAGGATGAACTCTAAAACTTCTGTTCGGTTTCCTGCTTCCATGTACCTGATATATCTATGAAGGAAGAGACAAGAGCAACATGGATTAGCAGCAAACTGGCACCCTCCATGTAACAAAAATATTGACCATGCTTTTCACTCAAGTTATTTGTGAAGTCAGTCATTGTGTCTAAGTGTTGGGTCTCCTTTCACTTATAAATGGAGTCTCTTATGCCAACCACCCATCTTAAGCAAAATAAGTCAGCCAGAGAAGGACAAATACCATATGATTTCAGTCGTATGTGGAATTTAAGAAACAAAACAAACAATCATAGTGGAAAAAGAGAGGAAAACCAGGGCGCCTGGGTGGCTCAGTCGGTTAAGCATCTGCATTTGGCTCAGGTCATGATCCCAGAGTCCTGGGATTGAGCCCTGCATTGGGCTCCCTACTCAGCGGGGAGCCTGCTTCTCCCTGTCTCTCTGCCGCTCCCCCTGCTTTTGCTCTCTCTCTCTGTCAAATAAATAAACAAAGTCTAAAAAAAAAGAAGTGTTGAATCACTAAATTATACAGCTGAAACTAATATTACACTGTATGTTAACTAACTGGAATTTAAATAAAAACTAAAAAAAAACCCCCAAAACTGAAAAAAAAAATCCATTTTATAACAACAGAAGTAAAATGGAATCCTACAGAATGGAGTCTAGAATTCCTAATTACCTATCTTTTAAAAAAATTTTTAAATTTAAATTCAATTTAGTTAACATATACTATATTATTAGTTTCAGGGGTAGAATTTAGTAATTCATCTGCATGATATAACACCCAGTGCTCATTACATCAAGTGCCCTCCTTAATGCCCATCCCTCAATTACCCCATCCCCCAACCCACCTCCTCTCCAGCAACCCTCAGTTTGTTTCCTAGAGTTAAGAGACTCTTATGGTTTGGGGCGCCTGGGTGGCTCGGCTCAGGTCATGATCCCAGGGTCCTGGGATCGAGCCCCACATCGGGCTCCCTGCTCCGCGGGAAGCCTGCTTCTCCCTCTCCCACTCCC